TATCCATCGCGATCACGGGGGGGTTGAAGAGGGGAAGCACTCGGTCGACACTCCACAAAGCGCTTTATAGTCCGTTTATACGACCGCAAGCTCGCGATACCATGTTTAGCACACGGGTACGCGATCACGAACACGACTAGCCTATTCCAGGTACGTTCAACGGGCCCAGTGCTTCTCATGCAATACAATCGCTTTACGACTCTCACCCCTCACGATTCGCCGAACGTGTCCAAAGTTTACGCGTCCTTTCCTTGAACCACCATATAATATTTCCCGCGATATCCTTGAGCTCGACGATTGCAATGATCCTATTGGCGTATTTAAAAAATTGCCAGGATTTCCACGCGAAACTCGAGTTGAATTCGAACGATATCGGTTCACGCGTGAGGGAGAGAAACGGAAGGGAGAGGGAGGTGTGTTAAAAAGAGATACGATTGAGAACCGAGGCGCAAAGTAAGGCCGGGTGCCATCGTTTCCACAGTGCATATCCGGTTGGCGCGATTCGAGGTCGGGGAACGAAGCTGTTACAAGCCGCGTGCGTGCGAGGAGGAGAGCTCCGTTCACGGAGCGTATTGGCGGTGGTCGGCGCGCGTTAAGAGCAGCGCTAAGTGCGGTCGCGCTATATCTGACAGTCGGCGGCATTAGGCAAATTGAAATCTTGCCGGGAGAGGAAGCAGAAGGGAGAGGATACCTGATTACGCCCTCTGTCCAGACTCGGAATCCGCCGTGAATCCACCGCGATGATTTCGAATCTCGGATCGTGGACCGTGAAACGCGAAGCCCATCAAACCACCAACGTTCGCGAGATACGAGATGTTGCGGCTCCGGTCTCCCTCCCCGGTTACCACGAGTTCTCCGGAACCGGAAGTCGAGTCCTCCCTCTCTCATTTAAACCTCCTTTGCCTCCTATTTTACGACGTAACTGGCTCTTTGCCCGAGCTCGGGATAATCTTTTAAGGCTCGACCACCTCTCGTCGAACTAATTTCGTTTCCTCTCCTCTCTTTCTCTCTCCTCTCGTCTTTTGAGTTTCATTATACCCGGGTTCGGTAACTATCGTTCCTCGAATTAAGGCCAAAATCGCGGCTCGAATCGGGAAATAATCTGGTTCGAAGATTATCGAGGATATTGCGATGTATTTTTTCACGTTTTTTTTTTTTTTTTTTTTCGATCGATGCAAGATCGATGTTCCCGTTTAAAGATAGGGGAAGAGGACGGGAAAAAAAAAGAAGAAAAAAAGAAAAAACGACGATGAAGGCTCGTTCAACAATTAATTCGCTCGTTATACCTTCCCCGATTTATTCTCGCGTAATACACAAACGGATATCCGTTGGTTGGTTTGGCCGAGGTATTCACCTCACCGACGACCTACTATTGGAAGCGCGCCACAAGTTGTTAACCTTAGTTGGCGGTTTAATTACACAGGCAAATATTATCGAACTGACAGAGTTAATTAGATAATTAAAACTTGAAGGGTAAACTACTTTGCCGGGCTACGTACCTACGGGAACGTACTACGAACATACTAACGTTAGGCAGTCCGTCAGACGTGAGAAAGGGGTCGGTTCGCTCCTCCACGTGTTGTGCGTGGAGCGCGCCTTCAGAAAGATGGGAGAGGGAGGAAGGCGCAGAGAGATTGACGGCGCATCGCGAATCGAGCTTCTCCAAACGGTGGAGATGGGAAACGGGATCCACCTGTTCCCGTAATAGAGGTATCCTTAACGAGGGAATTCCTCGGTCTTGCCTTTTTTTTTTTTTTTTTTTAAAAACCCGGCCATGGCAAATTTGTTCATCTCTTTCCGCTTCCGATTCCCAGGAATTATTACGACCCTCGGAGGAAGGCTTCTTCGTCATTTTCAACCGAAGAACCGTTTTATTACCGTTCAAGGTTTTCGATCGATTTAAAGAAAAATTAAAATATCTTTCCGGGGAGGAATATGAAACGGTTGCGACGAGAGATATATATATTCTTTAAAGAATAAAGAATTAAATTATATACTCGGTTCCGTTCTAATCTTTTTCAGTTTCAGAGATAATTTCATTAAAGACGTATTTTATCATAAATTTTTTCCCGACGACAACAAGACCAGATTTGTCGGTTGTCGATTCTCGATAACGCCTAAGGTTATCGTGGGTTGTGTGTTGCAGGCACAAGCGGAAAGTGCAGAACCTGTTACCGTGCAAGAGCGCAGCAGGGGCGGCGGCGGCGGCGGCNGGTCGAGCTCGGTCGACTCGGACGGTTACTCGTACATCGTGGACACCGGATCTAGGAAAGCGCCGGGCACAGCGAGAAGGATCGTGGCCGAGGGCACCGAGGAGGAGGTGTGTCCGCTTTGCACGATGCAGCAGATACACAACCTTCTGAGCAAGCCCGAGGACGTATATCTCAACGTGCACGCCACGTGACACACGTCCTTCGCGAGCGACGTCTTCTTATAGAGACTGCCCCGTCTCGGATGTCTGTCCCCCCCCTGCTTCCAGTACGGATCCCCGCGCGGTAACGGGGGCAGGTTGACGATTTACATATCCCGTGATATCGTTCGGCCACGATCGCGTTGTTGCGTTGTCGACCGACTTTGATGAGACCGCGTTTCGAAAACTCTCGTCGTCACTAGCTACATGTGACGGTGGTGCGAAGTGGTTAGGTAGACTAGTGTCTTTTTTTCGGATTCAGCGAGCAGAGACGAAGGTGACACGGGAGATATTTCTTTCCTTCTCGAAGAGTCGCGCCGCCTTCGCGTTCTTTTCTTTTCTTTTCTTTTCTTTTCTTTTTTTTTCTCTCTCCATTTTCGAGATCTCTGCGTTAAACGGGAGCATCGTCGAGAAGCGACACGTCTTTCTCTTTCTGTTATTTTCTTTTTCTTTTTTTCTACATTCCAACGATGAGCGAGAGCGCGAGTCGGTGATTTCGCCTTCGATCTCGTCTTCGATGCAAACTCTCGTTCCTCTTGCTCGCTATCACCTTGCTCGATAGGTGGACGAGGCGAAGACACTAGCGCGGACTAGTCAGTATTTATTTTGTTACGCGGCCTGTGCTTGCACAATCTCTCTTCTGTTCGAATAAACGAAAAGGAAGCGAAAAAGAGGGGGGGGGGGAAAGGGGGTTGAAGAAGAAAATTAGAAAGGTTGAGGGATAAATGTGGAAAGGCGAGAGTGGCCTTACAAAATAATTATTCTCGGTTGTGCGAGCACGGCACTCTAGATGCACTCCATGGTTGTAAATAGAAAATTAGATCGTGCAACTGGAATATTGTAAATAATATACACAAAGTGAGACAGAGATTGACGAGAGAAAGAGAGAGAGAGAGAGAGAGAGAGAGAGAGAGAGAGAGAGAG